CAAATATTTCAATTACAGATAGTTGTGAAAGAAGAAATGAGAAGGCAACATATGGCAGAACATGCGCGCAGATTAGAAGAAATGAGACGCGCAGAGAGAAACAACAGAAACAGTCGTCGCCGTCGTAGTCCGAGAAAATAGTTCTCTGATCTACCACTTTCGATAAACGTACCTTTCCCTTTCTGATGCAAAAATTCCGATTTTGATCAGTTACATTTTTAAAAACGATGTTATGAATCACGGAAAGACAAATGAATTTTTTCTTTTTACATTAGACAGACTTGCCGAACATACTCTTTAAATTTTACTTTCTCAATCGTTCCACGATTTGCAGGCTGTTTTACAATTTAACATATGGTGTTAGAATTTGCGTTTTTATTCTTCAATTTTTTTCTTTTTTTTTTTTTTTTAATTCAGAAAACTTTTGTTTCTGTATCGATTTCGCGTATTAGTTTCTCTGTTTGATTTCATTCGTTCAATCGCTGATTTTTGTTCATTGGTCAGAAACTGTACAAATTTGTTGCATGATCAGGAAACGTCCCGATCTCCGATCCATCGTCCCTGAAATTTCAGCATTAAGGGGGTATTCTGGTAATCCGGCCAAAAAGATAAGCAATATTCAGGATTTTTTTTCTCGGTAAATAAATGATAGCTTTGTAAAACTTTTATACTATATTAATGCTTACTTAACTTTTTTTTATTTATATATAATTTATATATAGCTTTTTTACATAAAATAATGTGCAATAACATCTCTAAGAAAATCTTACTGGCAGAATAGAAAAATGAACTGAAAATTTTTTGCATATTTAATTCCTTAATCGATAGCAGTTACTTATGCCAAAGGTACTAATTCTTAAAATATGAAAGATTATCTTTTAATTACAATTTCTATCTGCAAAAAAAGTATATAATATTCAATTTAATTAAATAGCTATCGACAATAGTTAATGATTTGTAGAATAATTTTAAAAAATTTCAAACTAATTGATTTAGATAATCTTTTCTATTTTTATTCCGCCAATAAGAAAAAAGTCGTTTCGAGAAAAATTAAAAAATTCTCCGTATTGACTTTTGATAATAAATATAAATTTATATTCAATCGGCAATTCTGGCTTTATACAAAATGCCTTTAGCTACTTCATACTCTTTATCTTCAGTTGATCTAACATTTCTATCGACTTGGTTTGTTTTGAAGTGTTAGTATTCTCGCGTTCTGATTTTGCAGATTCATGTTTCGTTCTACTTCTCCGTGACTGACATGGCATCTGGTTCGATAATCATGTTTCCTTGCATTATTTTTAGAAGTTTAAATCTTCCATTAATGTGCAAGCAGCACATTACATGGCAATTTTTTATTAACTTTTTTTCAGAAAAAATATGTTTGGAAAGCATATTCACATGCAAGAGTTAAAACTTTTGTTGTTGTTTTGCGTGTTTGTCTCCAAACATTTTTCTATAATCATCTGATATGAAATCATTATACATAGGCTTCGAAGTATCACGAATTTTATCATCAATAACAAATGGATGTTTATAATCTTCCATGTTTTAGCTGCTTCAGCCTTGCGTCATTTACACCAAGATTCAGGTCCTTCTGCGCAATAGGAATGCTGAGGATTTTCGACAGTCGAAATTTTACGATAGTAAGTCGTTCATACTGCTTTCCTCATCTCTTCGGTTGAATTTGAGTGTCGACATATAGTCAAGCTAGTAATAAAAAATTCCTCTATCAATTTATTTGTCAACTATATTTTTTCGCCATTGTACTTTTCCTCTTTTTCTTTGATTTATTCGTCCTTGATTTGCAGTTGTTTTTGTGTCTTTTTCAACTGAGTAAGTTGTTTTTAATATTCGCGCATTTCTTCATATATGAAACGCACTCTTTCTTCTTATTATGATGAAATCATCTTCTTAAGATTTCGCATTTAATAATCCTCCAATGAAATAATCATATATTTTTCGTCATACTTTTTGGTAGATCTTTCAAAACTTTTAAAACATTTTCATCGTATCTTCGTGGTTGGCGTCGCACATTGCATCATTTCATGCCATGCATTGTTTTAATATGCGTCGCTTATACTATACGAAGGAAATCTATGTTCAATGTTGAAATAATATTTATATTTGAAAATTTCATTATATTTCGAAAATGTAGAGAAATATTTGAAAGGTATAAAGTAATATTAATAGAATCGATTAGAGTTAGGTATTATTAAGTAGACCGAAACGAGCCGCTCGACCACTAGTGTTCATGCGGCGCGCTTCGGCGCGTTCGTTACAAAAAATTATATTAGTCTAAATTATTTTAAATTTTGCTATCAAATTTTCAGATAACATTTTTAGAGATACATACTTTCGAAAAATGTATAAAAAAATTGATTTTTTGAAACCGGATTACCAAAATATCCCCTTAAACCATACTTCTTACAGGTCGACATTGACTATCCAACAGTGCGGCGTAACTGTAGAACAAACGATAGTGTTTGCATCGTGTAGGAGTGATGCATCACGTTCTACGATACGTCGTAGTGCGATATCGCAAAACGTGCCCTGGGAATTGGAGGATAATCAAACGAAAAACTGTCCACATAGGGAAAAAAACTTGAAACTTAATATTCATGATCATTGAAAATGTTTGTTTTCTTACAAGAAGACAAAACAAAATAAAAACAAACAAAAATGAAATGAAATGAAAGTTGAACGAATTGTTAGAAGCAGCAACAAACAAAAAACCCGAAATGATGATGGCGAGAGACTGTGGTATTGACTGATATGAAGTTATCTTAAAGCATCAATGAGAGTATTTTCTCTCCCTGGAGTTATTTCTTTTCTTTGTCGGTAGAATAGCCTGACTTCCTTGAATTCTGACATATACTACCATAAATTTGGTAGTAAAATGTAAAGTTTTAGTGTTTCTCGTTTTCGCGCAATAAATTTGCACAACCAGAAACACATTTGTATATATAAAGTATAATTCAATATACCGTGATATGACATGTAAAATTATCAATAAATGTAAAACACTATAGGTTATATACAAAAAATACATTTGCCGCTTACTTTATACAATGTCACACCATATTTAGAAGATTTGTCATTCATCCTTGAAATAAGATCGAAAGATTTACGAAAAAAATACACTTTTAAAACAAAATAAATTTATTCGTTATATTTATTTTATTGTTTGTATTCGAATTCGTGTGATTCGAATGAATGTATTTTACTAACATATAATCGGAAAGAAAACCACTTCACAAGGAAAAGAATTATATAACAAAATAACTCAAGCATGTGACAATTAATATTTCAACCAGGAAACGATTGTTTACGTAAACTTATTCGATCTTTATTTATATTAACATCGTTAACGCTAACATTGTAATTGCTTCAATTTACAAAAATCGTGAATTACAAGATGTGTGCATGTCAGCTATTAATTAAAACATCTCACAATCATAAATATTATAAATAGGAAAAATAAAATTGAACTGAAAATTTCAAGTTTAATGTTTAACTTAACTACCAGTTTGTACACTATTATGTCCTTTCTGTAATTAAACTAATCTTAACAATGTTATGTTCAAAAAACACTTCTTTCGCATTTAAAAAAAAAACAATTATACAATAATATACATCTTTTATTATTTTCATTTGTTTTATATTATTACGTAAGAAAGATCAAGAAACGATTATAAAAAACTGTAATATTTGTTTTGATTATAATTCCAAATCTATTTTTAAATCGTATTGATCCTATAATTAATATATACCTTAATATGACTTATTATTGTACATATATGTATAAGTATTTTTTGTATAAAACTAAAAAAGCAAACTAAGATAATTCAATATATAATTGTTTTTAATATTAGAAATATTTTAATTTTTACATTTAAATAATAAATATTTTAAATTTTTTTCTTGAATCAATTTAAAAAATTGGAAAAAGAAAGTTTTCAGATTTATATTTATAAAGTAATTAGATTATTTAAATTATAATAAAAATTATAATAAATCATATAGTAAAATGATTTGAAAAAGTTAATTAATATAGTTAGAATCAATACATGAATCATTAATAGAATAATTAGAATCAATATATGAATCATCAAGAGGATTATAAGAATTAATATTTTCATTAATTTTTATTTTTTATAATGGTATTCTGATATCATTTTAAGAAATTTGAAATTGACAATAATTTTCAATCCCTAAAAAAAATTTCTTTTTTAATTTATAATATTTTGCCTAAAAATTCATATTTAACAATTTTAAAAAAATTTTAATGAAATGAATTTTATCTTTTGCGGTTGCATTTGTATCACAATTAATTAATTTAAAATATATAATTTGAATGTATATATGCGATTATATTAATTTTGCACTACATTCAATTTAAAAAATAAAGTTCGAATATAGGATTATAAAGGATTCGATCTTATAAATATAATAATAAAAAATGTGTGTATACATTACAATTCAAATTTATAATCCAAAAAATTGAAACAATATTATTTAGAAATTATTAAAAAAAAAGTTTTTTTATTTACAATGTTGATTAACATCTTTAATCTATTACTGTAAACAAATGAATCTAATGATAATATTTTATTTGGATTTTATAATTTATTTGTAAAACGTATACACATATTTCTATAGTTTCGATACGTCTATCTCGTTATCAAAAGGATGTATACTAAGTTAATGATGAACGCATTAATTTAATTCCTATATTGAAAAATTTTTGATATTTTATGTTTCGATTTTCAAATAGTAAAATAAATAATTTAATTAAAACCCTTTTTATGTACAATATTTGTTAAATATTATCATTATACTGAGTTTACTTCACTATTTACTAGCAATATATAAATAATAAATCATATTTGGAATATTTAATCAAAATATCATTGATTAAAAAAATAAATTGAAAATAAAACATTTGCATATAAGAAGGGTTTGATACAAATATATTAAAATTCTTTTCAAAATTGATATCAATTATTCATTCTGCTTATTATTTACTCATACCACATTTATTTTATTTCGATGGGCATCATTTAATACATTAGTCGACTTTCACGACACTGTAGATTTTTCGTACAAACCAGAAACAGGCAAAGAAACCAATTGATCCTATTAAATATATAAAATATATAATATAAAATAATAGTTTATTTTTTATTATAAAACATCATAATTTTATTAATAAGAAAGAAATACATCTTACCCGTCAAAACGAAAAATAAGTAAACCATAATACAAGTATAACCGAAGTAGAGAAATGTAGATGTAGCATCTTCTATTTCCAATTTAGTCATAAAAAAATGTATGCAGTAAACTAATAAATAAAATGCAGTAAATCCAGATGTTAGGAAACTACGCCACCACCAATGATAATCCTATAAAAAATATATTTAAATATTTTTAATAATTATATCTATTATATATATATCTATTTTATTAAAAATACTATTTATTTACCTCTGCGCAAAGATGAAAATAACAAAGTAAAATTGTTGTTTCTGAACACGTAATTACAAGTATAACAAATACCAAAAAGAGAAATCCAAACATGTAATACACCTGACTTGCCCTGAAAAAATAAGCTAAAATTTAGAATAAAAATGTTAAAAATAAAAAATTCTCTGTTATTTATAATTAAATTAGCAATAATTGAAAATAATTTAAATTAATAATATTTGTGATTGCAAAAACTATTGCAATATATTTTAATAATACCTACCACAAAGAATTAAGAATAAAGAATAATTGTATAAATATACATCCAAAAGGTAAAACTCCACCCATTATTACTCCAGGAATTGGTTGAGTATAAAAACTTTGCTCTGGTATTTGTCTAGGAATTTGATTAGTTCTTACAGGATGCTCTAAAGACTGAAATAAAATTCATTATTAATTTTTCTATGAAATATGATTTTTTTATAAATAAAATAATTATATAATCAAGATAGAAAATATTTTAAAAAAAGAAGAAAAATTTTATATTTCTTTTTTTAATAAAAAAAGTTTTTGCAAAAAAAAATTTACCCTTTTTCTAAATCCAAAATAAGCACCAATAAATGTTAATGGAAGAGATACTCCAAACCAAAGTGCTAGAAGGGCAATAAGAGTACTAAATGGTACTGCAGCTGAACTTTCATTTGCCCAAAATATTAAATTCATTATGAAGAATAAACTGAATACAATTCTGTAAATAATTCAATAAAATTAAATATTTTTTACATGATAAAAAATATTATATAAAGTTGTATGTAATTTATATTCTCTGTGTGTGT